TGTATACAGGGTTCACAAGCAGAATAATTGCCAGTCATGTGGAAGGTGTATAGTGAATACTAAAGGTCTTACAGTCAGGACTGGATTCAAGCCCCATGTCCCTACTAAACAGCTACATGTTCTACACAGTTTCCTGGTGTGGGAAATGTGATGGAAGCACAGATAAAAATCTCTCTTCTATGAACTTGTATCTTATATTCTAGTTGAAGAGACAGACAAAAACCCAGCAAAAGACACATGTAGTTCTGGTGTGCAGAGGAGGAAATCCCCAGTCATCAACAGCAAATGAGAGCACGAGATTGAACTCGGAGTTGAAGAAGTAAGCAGGAATCACTCAGTTTCCTAGGGCAGAGGAGTAGTAGACAGCAAGAGGAACCAGGACAAATGTCTCAGGACAGGCCATTCTTAGGCCATTCAGCGAACAAGTATAGAAGTAACTTTGTCAGCTGTCAACTAGACACAGAATGAGAGCTGCTGTAAGACGGTGCAAAATATCACATGTACAACCCTGAGAATGGTGCCCAGTAGTAGATCTTTTGTAATTAACATCAGGCAGTGTGGTACATTTCATCATCAATACTATTATCCTGGTGCTTACATTAGGCAAGAGCCTTCTCTGAAGGTTTTAGAACACTTCAAACCCTTGTATAAGTACTTACTTAAGAAACTATGAGGCTGAAACACCAGACAGGAGCAGAGCCCTGACATCTGTCTAGCCCCTTGCATTCAAAGCATCTGCATAACTATTTGACTTGGCTCCAAATGAGCTTGAAAATAAGTTTCTAAGTTTAAGGAATTTTACTTTCAAACCATTAACTTTTTTACATATTGCTATTTGAAATAAGCAAACTATGGCAGGAATAAAATAAGAACTTAAATATTTCTCAGCATAATGAATCAGACCTTCATTCTGGTCTGAATGAAAAGTTTTAACACAAAGGGAATAATTTCAATTTTGTTGTAAAACTCTTCTATATCCATTTTAATTCTGTTTTATGAAATCCTGTCTACCTCTCAGGGTACTAAAATAAAAGTGAAAACATTTTGAGAAAAGAATATTGTCATGTTATCTCACATACAGAGACTTATGGTTTGGATATGCAATATACATGCTCAATTAAGGATTGCATTGGTAAATTGTGAAGAATAGGTCATTTACTACCTGTTCACTTTCAAAGAATTAAACATTAATTACAAAAGAGCAAATTTTAGTATTATTTTCAGGTCAACAACAACAATAACAAAAAAAATCCCAAATCTGTTTTTTATACAAAACTATTTGTTTTTGACGTTTGTGACATGATCGTGGTATTTTAATTCTGATAGTTTAGTCTCAAAATACATTGTCCCCACTGGTTTCTGAAAAAATTTTGCCTTAGGAAAATGTAAAACATATCAAAAGGATTGAGTTTCAATTGTTTAATGGGGGATAGAGGGAAATAGGATATAGTAGTAAATCCAGGCACATGATTAGAACAAGACCAGGACAAACAAAGGAAGACCTTTTGTCTAGAAAATAATGTTTTTACAGAAAATAAACCACTTCCTAGACGAAACTTCTTAGATCAGGAACATCTTAGCATGAAAGTCACATATGAATTGCCTTAAAATCATATACAAAGCCAAGCAACAAAACAATCTTTCATCCTCTTTAGGAGTTATTTTCTGCTTTCCAGTTTCAAAACTAGCAAAAAGATTTAAGGTTTTTTAGGTCTTTTTTTACTTATATGCAAGAGCATGTGCAAACAGGAATACATCTGTGTGGACTTTACCTCCAAATGTACATGTGGAATTAACTTAAAATAAAAAGCAGGTTCTGGAATTTTCCTGAGATGCAATTAAATTTATGAACATGTGACAAATGAAAGACCAGAAACAAACTATTAGAAAAAGTTCGTTAATCCCATGAAGTCTATATTGGAAAAAGTACTTAGAAGAATCACTTCTGGATATTAGATGTTTTACTTTGTATTTTTATAGCACCAAGTCCTGTTAATTTGAAATTTATATTAGGCTAAGGACCACCTATTAGTCAATATTCAGAATTTAGATCTTATGCTTGAAATGCAGACACAGAAGAAAAAAAGTCAACTGAAGAAAGGAAACAGGAAAAATGGGGTAAGAGAATGTCTCAAACATCTAAAGAGATAACAGCCTGATGGAAAAATGGGTTGATTACACTATATTGCTAGAATAGTGCACATAAAAGGAAAAGGATGGAAGAAAGGCGTCAATGTTTAATGTTATTACCAATAAAAGAAAAGGCTAAAGAACATTTACAATGTGCTGTGAATATCAGAATGTTTAATTTGTAATCATCCTGGGATAATTAATCATAGTTTGCTGATGACATGTTAATAATTTTTAAATCCAATGAAAAAAGTCACTTAAAGTTTAATTGGAAAATAAGTAATAAAAAGAAAGTTTGGTCCCTGCAGAAAATACTTTATGGAATAATGAAAACCTTTAAAAGAGATGATTACTTTAAATTTTTTAAAAATAAAACTTTTTCAAATTTGGTACTTATCTATATTATTTTAGTACATGTGCTGCTGAAGCGAGCACTATCTATATTATTTTAAACTACACCTAACAAAGAAGATCCCAAAAGATCTGTGCGTAATCAACACAAGCCTAAAAAGAACAGGAAGTCTCTGTATTTGATTTCTTTTTAAATCTGAGTGTACTTTAGAATAAAATAAAGTTGATAGTTTTCTTTGAAATAAATCAGTCCTATAATGTTTAATGTAGTATAGCCTGTAATTATTTTTTCTTTCACATGAATAAAAATACATATTGTCAGTAAATGTTGATCTTCAAAATATATCTTGTCAGGCCGGGGATTTAGCTTAGTGGTTCTAGCACCTGCCTCACAAGCGCAAGGTCCTGAGTTTGATCCCTGGTACCAAAAAAAAATGTATATATATCTTGTCTAAGGCCCTAATGATGATATAAATTGTCAAAGAATAATACACACAGCAATACCAATATTTTTGCAATATATCAAAATAAAATAAAATTACATCACCACTAAGAAGACATACTATTTTTAATTAAAGATATATTACCTACAAGCACATTTCTGGCTACAATTCCTAATTAACAAGATTAAAAATTTACTCATGAGAAATAATTAGCCCTATTATCATCATGTGAGTGTCATCATAATATGTATTTATTGGGTATATTTGAGCACAGATAGGGAGAAATATATAATTTAACATCCATATATCATTACAAGGACAAGCAGTTTTCAATAGTTTTCTGGAATTCAACATCATCTCCCAAATTTGTGTTAGGTTCTGGCTACATTTCTTCATTTAGTTTTCCATTCATTTGGCAAAAATAGTGAAGTCTAATGCCTGAGCTGAGATAGACAAAAGTCTTTCAATAATCATATTATTTAACTTTTGAATAAGAATATATATAGAAGTTAATTACTTTTATGAAGAGTAAAATACATTAGCCAAAGACATTTTCATCATATGACTAATGTCCCTTGAAATTCATGAATATACCATCAACAAAATGATGTAGTAACAATTTCATGCCTAAAAATTTGCTTATAAACCGTTTTATACCTCTCCTTATCTTTGGGGGAACTGTGTTAGTCTTTCAGCTGCAAAGATCTCATGACAGAACTGGGGAAGGCAGCTCATGTTGCATAAAGCAGGGAATTGGTTGGGCATCCTCCCCAGAGAGCTTCCAAGAGAAGAGGTGAGTGGGACAGACAGCTCTAGCCCTGCAGCTGGGCTGGGCTTAATCTTCCTCAACACCACAGAGCGGTCTTCAACTAGGGATTCCAAAGTGAAAACTTAGAAATTGGCTTTAACGTGTACTCTTTAGAAAACTATGAATGCTCTTAAATGAACAAGGGTTTAGAAAAAGTAGCAAGAATACTCAAAGGAACTAGTGATGTTTAATGAAAGTAAACTGTTCCTTCTGGGATTTAAGGGTATGACCACATATCTTTTCAGAACACAATATTGGAAAATGCCTAATTCTGTGATTTATGAGTTGATTACTTCATGAAAAGTCAACAGTAACAGAATAGAAAATTAGCAAAATCAATACGAATAAATTGATTTTCTGACTGTTTTTGGAACTTAGAGCACATTTTCACATTTTTTGTCAGGTTCAAATATTCCCATGAATACTTTCATTAACTTTCCTATAATGGCTTAACAATACCAAACGAAATTTTCAAATGGAGAATTTTCACTAATGAACATTCTTTATCACAATGGTTTGGATAAACAAATGGAAATATTTCCACATTTCCATAAGATATGTCTGTTACAACAACAGAGCATACTTTTCTATTTATTTACTCATATTTTATTTTTGGAAGGTTTATTATGCTTAGCTCAATTTCAGCAAACATCTCTACAAACTGTCCTTTTTGGGATTTTGTGTCTTATGTCTTCAAAATGAAAAAAGTAGTGATGTAACATACATATTCAAGTATCTTTTAGCATAGAAATTTAGTTTAAGTCAGTATACATCATGATTAATGTATTCCAGTTGAAAATATTCAGGAGCTGAAAATAAAAACAATTATTGAAAAGTTTGGTTATTTCGCAAATTATTTATTTGTCAGAACATCTGCTTTGTAGAACTATTAGTCCTATTCCTTAAACACTTATTAGGCACAAACCTAGGTCTTCCAAGCTTTAATTAAAATTGAAGTAGGCAATGACATATATTTTGCAAAAGGACATATCCAAATTAAATATAAAGTATATGAGAAGAAGAAAAGTAGTTATATTAGCAGAATAAATGAGCACTTCAATACTACTATTTTGAAGACAGCATACCCAAAACAGAGAAATTGTGTGCTTCAAAATTTGCACTAATTTGGACAAGATAAAGCTTAAGAAATCCATCCTGCATTGAAGTTATCTCCTGACACACTACTTGCCTGATTTGTTTGGGATGTGGTCAGATCAAGGCGAAGAGAGATCAGCTGTGAGGGCTGAGCAGCCCACCTCCTCTCTTACCTTCCACTGAGGAGGAAGCCAATGACCACTGCCAACAGAATGACTCCCACTGTCACGGACACAGCAATGATGGGGATCTGGCTTTGATCACTGGACGCTGCCACTGCTGTTGGAGACACAGAAAATGGAGCTTGCGGTTAACGTGATCATGTGCATTCAAAAGAAGAGCTGCCAATAGTCGGGAATCAATTCATAGTTTAAGCAATTTGCTCACATTTGGCTGAGATTTCTCCATAATAACTCTTCACAAAAGCGTGTAATTGAAAAGGCGTCCTTAGGAGAAAATATTTACTCTCCAAATAGATATCTGAAAGCATCACTAAGTCATTGATTATTTCCTTGTCATCATAAAAATTTAATGTATACTGTTTGCATAGGAGTTATCTAGGAGCCTGAGGTCTGCAGGATAAACAGAGCATCCATATCGGCTTTATGTACCTTCATCTAAAGAGGAGGGCATTAAATAGAGGAGATTTGAGATTTTTAGAATTTATATGTCCCTGTTCTCTAGAAAAAAAAATACGATCAACTCAGAATTATTTTCTCCATGGACATGAAGTGCAAAATAAGGTGACTATAAACCAAAATAAGTTAAACACAGTATCACTGGCTGAATATAATCTGAAAGTAAAACATAATTCCAAGTTGAATATAATCAGTATGTATAGTTCCTAAGTAGTATCACTTTTGAAAATTATCAAGGCATAAATTTCAACTTCCAGAAATGTGTTTAAGTCATCAGAACTAATAACAACCATAGTAGGGTTTGTTTTATTTTCTTTACCACCACTTAGCAGATTTTGGTCCAATAATCCTTTTGGATTTGATAACATTTCCCTTTCTATTCTAATCACCCTGCCCTGGAAACCTTTCATCCTCAATTGAGTAACTTTTTGACCACTCTCTTGGCCTGATCTACATATCAACCCTTTCAAACAGGCCTTGAGAATCCAGTATTACCAACAGCAAGTTTGAGTAAAACTCTTACTTATAAGTCTATGTTCTTACCATCTCTTCTTTTGAGTGACAAGAGTTGTAATTCTATGGCCCTTTTCTCTAATTTCTTCCCTTGTTTTTGAGCTGAGGTCCATAATAAGAAATTTGGTTCTCAGTATGCAATATAAATGAGAGCAAAACTATGATCACTAGTAGCATTGCCCAAGGTAGCCTTTCTCATTTTCTTAGTATATTAATCCATTTCCAGTTTTCACACTTTAGAAATACTAAACTTTATAGCCGAAAGCGAGTGGCAACTTAGACCCTGTGATTAAGTGTAACTGCATAACTTCCTTTTGCTTTACCTAACTCCACTGTGAAATTCCCTCTTTCTCTTCCAACATCTTATTTCTTCAAGTCCTCCCTGCAGGAGTTGTTCTGTTCCCTTAATGACTGTTTCTGTGCAACCATGAGAGGATATCTCCTAGTGGGAAAAATAAACCCTTATACATAAACTCACTGGTGTTAAACCTGAATGTGAAAAAAATGTGCAACATATACTAGACTTAAGGGCCAAGGAAATTATTCCATCATTAAAAGTTATTTCCTTACCTTCAAAATAGAAAGAATTTCCCAGGATCATTATCTTTTTGGTAAAATTATAGATAATAAAAACAAAGTTGGGCTGGGGTTTTAGCTCAGTGGTTTTGGAACCTGCCGCACGAGTGCAAGGTCCCGAGTTCGATCCTTGGTACCAAAAATAAAATAATAATAATAATTAGCATAATGCTTCAATTACTGACAGTCTTAAGTAAATAGTAGGTGTCATTTCTATTTACTATGTCTTGCTTAATTTATCATTCTGTTTATTTGGCGTTTGTCAGCATCTTAGCTCATGTTCTAAGAGTCAACATTATTAAATTCTCTCTAAAACTTTTCTTTTGCCATTAAGTTTTACGCATATTTATTAAATATAATAGATATTTCATTTATCTTAAAAAGCATTATGATAGAGAATTTGACATTGTTGACCTTATCAAATGTGCCATTCTTCACATTATTTCCTTGTTGTTGCCTGTGGTATCCGACAAGATGTTTTCTTTTCATTCCTCTCTAAAGCACTGATTCATACATTTTGTTTCCACATTCTCTGTTCACATCTTCTGAGTGAACTTGATGAATCCTCTTTCTGGATGCTTCTCACTTCTCTCCCCAATTGCTATTTTTCTCTGTTTCCTCCATTTCTCCCTTCCCTCACAACATCAATTCACAAGTATCAGCTAAAAGGTCAAACATTTAAAATACTTATTTCTGTTTTAAGCATCACTCTACATTTTTTAAAAATAAGCTCTGCTTTTTCCTCTATTTGGATTTTATTAATACATAAAAATAAGCATATTTAATGTTGACCCCTATGCCACATCTACCCTGAAGCCTGATAGAAAAGCGGATCAACAAATAATCATATCATAAATCAAACCAATAAGCTGATTAGATGTGTTTCCAGTTTAATGTTCACTGACTCTTTCTTAACCTCTATTTACTCATTGTTTACTAAATATTTTCATGTTTCTTTTGTTTTCTTCATATATCACTTTGTTCCTTCCACTGCACACTTATTTGATTCAAATCTCTATGGTGAAAAAGCTGGAATATGATTCAGTGTTTTAAGGTTTTTTTTCTGTTTTCTATATACTCATATTAGATACTTAAAAATATGACTTTGATGATTTTTTCCTGACCAAAAACTTACCAGAATTCTACTACCTATGGAAGAGTATTCCCCAATTCCCAGACTAGCATTCAAAAGACCTAATATGACTCTAACAATTATTTCAGGTCTGAATGTCCCAATTTGTTAACTCTCAAAGATATGGTTTTGTAGAAAGTGGGTATGGATGGTGAGGGGCAGAAGTACAATCAAGCAATTTCAAGCTGACAAAAGCATTAAATTAGAGAAAGAAATATAGATCCTTGATAGGCTGAAATAATTCATTTGTAATAACTGCTCAGAACTAATTTAACAATATGCTAAACAATGCACTTAGGTATGAGAAAATGTCTTGCATTAAAACAGTTGTTAATGAGATACCAAACTTTTCCACATATTTAAGTTAATAAAATATATGACAGCATTTTAGAAGTAATGTCAAAACACAAACATTCATATTTCTATGTTTTTATCTAATGTTCACTGAATTCAGGTCTTTTTAAAAATTATTGCCAATTGAATCAAGGGGCTATGAAAATTTAAGGATTATATTGTCATTATTGACTTTTTAAAATTTGCGGGATTTTCTAAGTTTTTTAAGAGTTTTAATTATTGAGTGTTTCACATGCACTGATTAATTTATGAGCCATTTCTAGTAGGATATAATTCATCAAGATTTTGACTTATTTATTGCTTTCTTAACCCTGAGGATATCCATACACTCATTATTATATTAGATGAAAGTATAGAACTTATAGGTCTATCAGTGCCTTCATACTGCTTAATCTTTAAGAGGGGGAAATGTTAGGCCCAGTATAAGTCGAAATTATGATTGCAAAACATTATAAAATGTGTAATATTTAAAAATAAAATTTATTCAGTCATGCTTCCCATTTTCTTTTGTATATTTTTAAAAAACTGGTTGATGACACAACTGTGAAAGAATAACTAAAGTTTGTTTTGGGAACCCTGAAGAGCAAAGTCTGAAGCCGGTAGCACACTATGCTGAAAAGATAGCAACTGTGATGATTGCTATTCTGTTACACCTAACAAGGCTTATTTTTACAATCAGTACACATTTTCACACTCTCTAGAAATTTAAGAAGTCACACTTTTACCCCATACTGCTTCTTATGTTCCTGGATATAAACTCATATTTCATGAACATTCTCTAGACTGTTTTGCCTCTGATACACAGTTGCATAGATTAAAGCTGAAAATAAATGTTAGATTATAAAGACTTTCAAATACCAGGCTGCAAACTTGAGATTTTTCTGCCACAGAAATAGGTATTTACTAAATTTCCTAACTAGTATAATCAGATCAGAGTTAGAGTTTTTGATAACTGGTAAGAGTTCATAGGGCCAGGGATTGAGTGAAGTGGCATGCCACCTGCCTGGCAAGCGCAAGGTCCTGAGTTTGATTCCTGGTACCGCCCCCCCACAAAAGAAGAGTTCAGAGGAATCAGTGGGAACATTGAAAGTACCATGGCAGAAAAATAAGCACAAGAAAGGATGTCACACATCGTTAGCTAATCAAGGAAATTCAAACTAAAACCATGGTGAGCTATTATGGAACATCAACCCCAAATTACTAGTAAATGAAAAAGGAAAGAAATAGTGATAACAACACATCATGATGAAGATATGGAGAAACCGTCCCACTCACACAGCTTGTGGAACTGTAAAATGATACAACTACTCTGGAAAAGAGATGGGAAATTTCACATCAAATGAAACATAAAATTACCTTTTGGGAATTTATCCCAGGAAAACAAAAATTTATGATGATATAAAAAATGGGTACACAAATGCTTATGGTATTTTAGTTGTAATAACAAAAGCTATAATTGGACTGAAGTCCTTAGAATAGATGAATTGTTAAACTGTGGTGCACATACACTGTGGAATATTGCCACGCAATAAAACACTAACACATTTCCGGCACACATCAATGGATGTAACACCAGGACATTATGCTAAATGATAAAATTACTTCCAAAAGATGGTCAAATATTGTATTGACCTTCTTACACATACATGTTCATAACACACACCTGCCTATAAAGTTGTACAAGAAAATATGATTGAATTCTATGGATTGTATCAATGTCACTATTCTGGATATAATATTAAGGTACAGTTTTGAAAAATCCTGCCACTGGGAAAAACTAAACAATGTGTATTGTATACAAGTGCACGTGAATCTCTATCACAATACATTCTAAATGAAAATATAGTAGCATTATGTGAACAGTTGGGCCACACAGTTTTGAGGGAAACAGGTAAGAGTTAGATAAAAGTAAGTGATACACGTGGTGCCGCCACATGCCTCGCAAGTGCAAGGTCCCGAGTCTGATCCCAGTACCAAAAAAGAAAAAAAAAAGTAATGAAGAAATACAAATACGATTGTTAGATCTTGGGAAAATAGAGGTTAAGAAAGATTCAGGGACACTCTCAAATTTTAAAATGTTAAAAGAAAGCAAACAATGAGCTAGATAGTTTGGCTGACTGCCTTCATTCACAGTAGGTATTTTGGTTGCTATTTTCCTTTGTTTTCTATTATTTGTTATGTTTGGTTTGGTTCTAGCAACTGAACCCAGGGCCTTCATATTGAGCTATATCTTCTACTCCTTTTCTTTTCTCTTTTTTTTCTTTCCTCTTCTTTTCCTTCCTTCTTTCTTTCTTCCTCACCTTTCCAACCTCCCAACAGCCCCCGACCCCTGTTTCATTTTGACAGTGCTAAATTGCCCAGGCTGGGCTTGAAAATGTGTTCCTCCTGTCTCAGCCTCCCAGAATGCTAGGATTACAGTTGTGTGATATCATGACAGGCTTTTTGGTTTGTTTTTCTTTTTTTTAAATCACTTTTATTGAGAATATGAATAATATAAGTAGTTAATTTTTAAAGTTTTTATTCCCAATAAAAGTAAAATGAAGGCTAGGGATTTAGCTCAGTAGTTCCTCTGCCTGCCTCACAAGTGCAAGGACCTGAGTTCGATCTCTGTTACCAAAAAAAAAAAAAAAAAGAGTAAAATGAAGAGGATAATAATTATTAAAAAATTAAAGCTTGGGAGATTAAGAATGACTGGAGATCTTCCATTCAAATTCTTGTAATGACTAATGTACAATAAGAAGTAATAAATAAGATTTTAAATATTAATCAAATGAATAATAAAAAATCAGTGCGCTATTTTTGTGTATCCTTATTATGAATTGAGCAATGAATTAGACAATTCTTTGTAAAAATATGTTCAAGGTAATTTTGAAATAATGTTCTACTCTTATTCACTTGAATGACAGAATAGACTTTGTTAGTAATAATAACTGGTTAAAGCCACTATTCTTGGCTGTCACCATCAGAAGAAAAAATACTGATGGCTTTAGCAGAGAGCACAAATACATTTAAGATACTATAATTCTTGCATCTAAGTATTTGGAGACCTTTCCAGGAAAATATTATGTGAAGAATTAAGCTACAATATGATGTACAGAACTGCAGAATTAAATTATTAAAATGATTTCACAAGAGTAAAGAAGTGTTTTCCAATAAAATGCATACAACCTGAATTCTACAAAAAATTGTGAGAACTGAACTCTTCTGGGCATCTTCTTTGACTCCCTATTGACTGCGAGCCTTGAGAAAGGAGAGATGATGGCAGGCTGTGCAACCTAATATAAGGAATAATAAAGCAAAATCATTGTTCTAAATTCATTTCTGAATCCAATATTTTATCCATTATCAGTAAGCAGAGTGTATTCTTCATGGCGATTAGTTCAAAGCCTAATATGTACAAGGACTGGCCCTTATACATTCTTACTGAATTACATCCAGAAAGGATTTCACATGAAGATGAGAGAGGAATGGTATGTAATAGGTATTTCTAAAAAGCAGAAATGTCTTCAAATCCTTTTAGGTATATGTATACACACCCAAGTAAAAAATAAGATTTAAAGGTGCAAAGGGGAAGGGGAAGTGGGAGGGGGAGGGGAAAGGAAAGAAGGGAATGGAATTAGTATGAGAAAATGAAAAAATGGAAACAAAGTGTTTGTAAATAGGGAGGGTTGGACGGGTTGAAGGGAGGGCCGGGGAAGGGGGAAAACATAAGAACAAAGAGAGATTACATAAAAGTACAAATTTCCAATGATGAATGTAACTGTATTGTATACCTAAAATGTACCAGTAAAATTAATGAAAAAAATAAGATTTGACTCTAATAAGTAGAAGTTAGAACACATCTAAAATATTTACCTATTAATAATAACCCTAAATTCTACTTTTGTAGGAAAAAAATTTGGTGATACTTCTTTTCCTCTAGAAATGATGTAAGAAACATTTTAAAAAGTAGATATTCTCCAGTGAGACTGCACACATATAAATGATAAAAGACCTGTGGATTAGATCTTTCAGTGGTGTGACTGATGAATTTTGGCATGCCTGAAAACTACTAGTTAATAAAAAGTAGAGGGTAAATATCAAAATCCAAAGAAAAACTAGTTGCTGAACATACCAATATCCTAATCCTGAATATAATTTATTATAAAATGAAAATTTTCATTTGTATAAGTGTCAAAGTATGCAAACATAGGGCTGGGGATTTAGCTCAGCGGTGCAGCACCTGCCTCCCAAGCACAAGGTCCTGAGTTCCATCCCCAGTACTGCAAAAAAAAAAAAAAAAAGTACGGAAGCATGTTTGGATATTATTCCAGCTTTGCTCCCAGAGTTGGTAGAATGCATAAGTGGTGTACATAACTAATACGTCAATAGAATTAAGGGCAATTAAGATGACCAATTTACATAATATGTCTTCGTCATAAATTGATTTACACTGAGATTATGAGATAAAATAATCCATTGTCAATATTGGGAGAATCTTCTGACTAGTTATATCTATTATCATCAAATCTAATAGAAAACTTTTCTGAAAATTAAACATTAGAGACTCAAATTTTAATAATTTCATTCAGACTTCAATAATGGAATTTTTCTTTCACAGAAAAAAAAATAGTTTAGCGTTTTCCACAATGATACCCTTATTTGTACAAAATCCAGTAGAGCAACACCAGGGAAGCTATTTTTAAAGTAATGAAAATTATTTCCAGATAATTCAGTTAAGCCTGCTGTAAACAGAATTATACTTTGTTTTCTACATGACTGTAAATTTATGAAATTTTAATTTAATAGTTATTCTAATAATTACAAACATGATTAACTACTAAGCCCTCATTTTGTTGATTTCTTAATAAAACAAACATATAATTTATTTCACTTATTTTAAAACCACTAATTCTAAGGCTAGGCATAATAGTATATGCCTGTAATCCCAGCATTCAGGTGGCTGAGGCAGGAGGATGACTAGGTGTTTGAAGCCAGCCTCGACTACACAGTGAGGCTCTGCCTCAAAAAATCAAAACAAACAAGCAAACAAACAAAACATCATGAATTCTTATATAACTTGGCCTTAAAGAGTACGTTCACACACACACTACATTTCACACTATTCTTGTGTATGATTTTCTTTTTAACAAAACTTGAATAGTTTCAGTAATTGCACCCATTAATAAGTTAGGTTACAGTCTTCTTGGAAATGTGCTTTTAATGTGTTTACTTTAAGGCAAGAAAGTCACTTAAATAATTTATCAACGTTAAAGATAAAAAGATTTTATGCACTATTATGGGAAAAAAAAGAGTACCCAAAGAATATTTGAGTAAGACTTCCAGATCCTTTATTCAAAGGTAGTTCGAGATATTTAACTTTTTGAGAAATCAGATTGATTCTTGAGAACACCATTTTCTTGCCAAATTCAATGCTAAAGAAAGCTCCCTGGGGGATTTTCCTAGAAAGACTAAAGTAGCATAGTTCAATGAATCAAGTAAAAAGTAAACGGCAATAATTTAATAAAGAATGGTACAGTGGAAACAAAGTTTTCTTGGATCTTCTGATGCACCAGGTCCTAGTGGAGTACCGGAGACAGGTGCAGGCCCGGTGCTAGCCTGGCAACTGGGCTCCACAGCCTGAGAGCTGCCAGGAAGAAGGTCGGAGGGAGGGAGGCAGGGAGGGGAACGCAGCCTGGACCCAGGAGGGTATTGATAGCTGCTGACCACCACACAGGCCCGAGCTGACAGTAATGAAAAGGACTTACACACTGGGGTGGTTTCAAACTCAAATCTTCTACTGAAGACACCATAGCCCGCTGCTGTTCGCGCTCGAATTTGGAAGACGTACACGGAAGCCGGCTTCAGGCCCTCCGCAGTTATGGCGGTCTCCTTGGATTTGATGATGGTGTAGCTGCTCTCCTTGTCCTGGGCCGCACAGGTACAGACAGTAAGAGGTCAGCATATGAATCACTAATCACAGCAACATTTAGAATCATAGGTTAGAGACGCAGAAACCAATGGACTTTCTCTTAGTACAAATATGTTTTGGAAAAAAATCCTGCAGGTGTGCTATGCATGGTGTCTTAAACTGTTGTAGAATTCAAGGTTTTGGGTGAGCTCTCAACCCATCCATCATTTTTATCTTTGGCAAAAATAAATTTGTAAAACACAATACAACGTTGCAGGAAATCAATTATTTTACAGACTCATTTATTGTCATTATTTGTATGCTTGTTTTTCTCAGAAATATTTTATTGCAGTATACATATCATACTACCTACTCAAGGAAAACATGGACAATATCTTATATACTTCTGGGTTAGCCTTAAGTTTAAAATAATCAGTGAATCAGACTTTTAATTATATGTAGGAGAAAAAATTGATACTTTACTAGAAAACTTTAATTTTGATTTACTCAATCTAAACAAGAAATATTTTTTAAATGCAAATAAGAAATACTAACTTTTTTCTTTTAAAATTTCTTGTTATGGCGAGAGGCTAAGAAAGTAGTGGAGATAGAGTAGAAAATCAATTACTGAGAAATAAGTTTGGAAACAATAACAAATGAAACTATTGCTACTCAGACTGCTAACACAAGTCACCATGAATCATTTATAATTCCTCTTCTCTCTTCAGTTATCATATTGACTTTAGTATACATACAGAAATCATAGGTTAAAATATAGCAGTCTATTTTTACTTTGATTTTTGGTTTTCTTATTTTGTAAAATGGAGTGGGAATTGTTGCCTGAATTTCCACACAGAAATTGAGAAACAAGTAATGTGTGTGAAAATGCTTAGTGAAGTAAGTTACATGTAATTTCACCATTAATGCTTTAATTTTTTCTCAATTTTTCTTATACGCTAAATTGAATTTCTAACTACTTTATTCTACCAGCAATATTACCTAAATCATACAGCCTATATGCATTCTTCTTTTAAAATAATTTACTATGTCTCCTTTACTATGTTCAAACTTGTTATCTTTGAGTTAAGCATATCCAGATGGCACTTTAAATAAGAATGGTTTAATTTGTAATAGAAATATGTATTCTGATTCATTCCAGAAAAATGGCTGATCTTGTTCTTAATGCATATATTAATATGGCTAATCTTTAAAGAATTTAAGAAATTTTATGATAGTTTTGCAAAGGACTTAAAGTAGGTAGTTAAATCCTACAAAATTTTACCAGGTGGTATCAACTTCTTTACCCACAAAAGATTCGTTGCTCTTCTACTATCTAGTACTCTTTACTTCCTCTTTTCTACCCCAGAACAGCAGTAAAAAACAAATAATCCATTCATGTATTCTTTTTAAACAGTGTACACATACACTGTTCAAACAGTACTTAGGTTTTGATTGAATAAACTGAAAAATGTTATTTACTATTTCTCAATATTATTGAGAATGTATAGCATTATTGTTTGGTAGTATACATTCCATTTTGGCTATGATTACAGCAGTAAGAAATTAATATCTAGTCAATAATATTTCTATCTGTTTAAAGAGAATTCAATATGATAAAAAACTCTAGCAGAAATAAAGTGAGATTTTATATATATATATATGATACAACCATTAGTTTTACATAAAGTATTAATATTTATAAAATAAAGAAGAAAGGATTTTGAAAAAATACCACAGGAGTAACAGTGTTAGAATTCTAGCCATATCATAAAGTATCTGTGTAAATGTTGATACAAAATTTGAGACCTTAGGTTTTTTTCTTTAAAATAGTTATAGAACTATCAAAATAATTGAGAGGAGATAAACTAGAGATGGTATGTATTGCATGAAGTATATTCTCCACAACATAATAGATCCCAGGCAAATTTGATTTATTGCTATTTCCTAGTATCATGATAAAGTTTTCCAATGGAAAGGAAAAAAAATAAAACAAGTTTTAAAAGCTTAAATGGTTGTAAATCTTACCTATTGAAGGTATAGTGGCTTCATTATGTAAAAATACTACAAATTGTTACTTCTGCCAAAAAGGAGGAAAATTATCAAGGAAATCAGAGTGCTGACCTATGAAATAATGTGTGATCTAGTCATCAGTTCCACAAAAGGTCAGTATTCAGTCTGATGTTAAGTATTAACATATCTCACCTGGAGCTCCAGTGATGTAATCGGTTACCGCACTGTACTTATATAACATAGCTCACCAATTATCTAAAGTTGAACTGTACATTACCTTACTAGGTTAGCCAAATACTCCATTATTAAAGAAAATTTAACAAAGCATGTATCTAACAACAAAACCAATGAATATATATTGTGAACAATTTATGTATCTTCTAAAATCTATTTCTCTTCCACCTCTTTAAATCACTTTCTTATTGTGATTTTCTTCATATCATGAGCCCTATATACACCTCTTCAATGCCCACAGACTCCTGGTTGCAAAATCCTTGGTCAAGGGAGTGGCTCTTGCTCTTTCCTGTCCCTACTGAGCAAATGAGCTGCATTCCCCAGCTGCTTAGCAAACACTGCTCTCAGGGAGCAAGGGGAGGGCCCAGCAGAAGAGCCAGCTGGCTACTATTGCCAAGGGACAGCTTCCCTTCTCCTCTGCCTCTAATTAAGAGATGGCCAGAGGCCCATCATTATGCTGGAGCAAGAAGCCCAATGACCTCTGTTAGAGCAGGGCAGTCACAGGCAGCAATGCCAGCTGGCAAACCCATGTACCCTGGAAGCTCTGCCACCTGTGTCTGGCCACAAGCCAGCAAGTAAAATGGTGGTGTCATTCTGCACGTTTCTAAACGAGCTCTGGAAACCACCAAGACCCCTACCTCAATGTGTGGTATAAAAGCTTATTATCCTTTTTTCCCCTAAAAGTGTTATACAAATCTCTTTGTATATTATATTGGTATGTTCAATCCTTTGTCTTGATAAAAAGTCCTGGGAATTAACGTCTTTATTATGAAAAGAAAACACTAAAAAAGAATGTAATATCTATCAAAATAATATACGACAAATATTTTGCTGCTTTTAAAGCATGAATATAGCAACTTGCTATTAATTTATTAAGAACATTACCAATACTTTTGTTCCCAAATCATTTTTCTTACTCTGAGTTACACAAATCATAGAATTTAATACTGCATTAAATATAAGCAGTTAAATGTAAGACCAAATCATGTTGATAATTCAAAAAGAAATTGATCCATGCAGAAAATTATTCCACAACAACATGGATAAAATTCAGTGGAGGAAAAGTTAAGAAAAGGAATCTACCACACCACTTGTTTAGTAACTATTCTAACAGAAGCAGCAATTTAAAAAAACTCCTTGTTCCCAATGAATACTATGCAAATGTGGGGGAGGAGTAGTAAAAATAACGAGTTACTAATAAGGAAGAAAAGAAAAATGATGATTTCCATATATATATATATACATATATATATGTTCCTATATATATATGTGTTCCTATATATATATATGTTCATATATATATATATATATCCCAGACTCGTGTAGTGTCCCCTGTACACACCCAGCCTCCACACTCAGGACTCCAAATTTGATTCTCATTGATCTGTACATAAAAGTGCAACATACTCCTCTACAAACTGGATAATTGCAGTTGCTAAAATGAAAAAAAGAAAAGAAAAGAAAAAGGTAGACTGGTTTTATTCTGTTCATCCCACCTTTTCAAAATACTTGATTTCATACTCCAGGATTATTCCATTGGGGCGATCCGGCTCTTGCCAAGAAAGAGAGATGCTGTTTTTTGTGATCTTCCCCTTTTTCACATTGGTGACTGGAGAGGGGGCTATAAAATAACACAAATAAAGACAAATATGATTAATTTAGCCCTGAAATTACAACCTATTCTGTATATTACATGTATTGGGATTTTTAGGATGTGGTATAGTAAAAATTCCAAATAATTAAATTTTCATTTAATTCATCAGTTTTACTCTAAATAAACTGGTACAGGTTAGGAACTGTGTTATAAATATAAATTAGCTAACCATCTTGAGAATTTTCTTATAAAACTGTGTTAATAAAGTTTTACATATTTATTATATAATGTTAAGAAAGATGTACATTGTATTTTTTTTACTTAAATTCTTTTATTGGTACATTGTAGGTATACAACACATTTACATTTCTCTTTGGAAACTTGTACCTTTACATGATGCATCTTGGTTCTTATTTTTTCCTCTTTCCTAGCCTTCCTTCACCCCCTCCACCCTTCCCTATTTACAAAGACTTTATTCCCAGTTTTTCCATTTCTCATCATTTTTCCTTTCCCTTCTTTCCTTTCCCCTGCCCCTCCCACTGCCCCTACCCCTTTGGACCTTTTCTTCCTATTTTACATTATCGATTATTCATGCTAATCACTGGTACATTTTAGGTATACAATATAATGACATTCATCATTGGAAATTTGCACCTTTACGTAATCTCTCTTGGTTCTTATTTTTCACCCTTGCCCAGCCCTCCCTTCAACCCCTCCACCCTTCCCTATTTACAAAGATTTTGTTCCTATTTTTCCATTTTATCGTATTAATTCCAGTCCCTTCTTTCCTTTCCCCTAGCCCTCCCACTTTCTTCCCCTTTGCCCCTTTTCTTCCTATTTCACATTACCTTTTCATAGAAAAGACATTTTTGATGACATCTCTTATTCCTACAATTTGTGAACTCTGAAATGTGTCCCTTTATTGATGCATGATTATCCCTATGGTGACATTTCTGCAACATTAAGGCTCTTTATTACATTTATTACTTTTAACATTGAATTCTACAATCATGAATATATGTATATATTATATATAGTCAATGTTTCTTTAAAATATGTTGTTAAATATGTGAATTTCTTTCTTTCTTTCTTTTCTTTTTTTTTTTGTACCAGGGATTGAACTCAGGACCTTGTGTTTGCGAGGGAGGCGATGGAACCACTGAGCTAAATCCCTGGTCTAAATATGTGAATTTCTTGAAACCAAATAGAAGAAAAGTTTTCCTTGATTTAAATTTCCCCCAAATATTTTCTTAGAAGTCAGTTACTTACTGCTATCTGCTCTTGTGTTTATTAGATGATTAGTTTTCAATGAAAATAGAAAAATTATATATGCCACTTCAGCTATATCTGGGTTCTTAAGTTCACAAAACATCTAGATGTTGAATGAATACCCAGTCAGCTGAGACTTACATAGACTCACTGGGTTTAATGATAGAAAGAATTGAATAATAGTTTTCTTAATGTAGTGACCTATACTTTGGGAGGCTTTAGCTTTCCTAAAAGATGTAGGAAAGAACATCATAAGTAAATAATCAGTGCATATGTGCACCTATATGTAGCCACCTCAGCGTCATTGTTACAGCTCAGAGCTAGAGTGTCCTACAAGGTCTGTGTGCAGAGTGGCTCTTCCAGAGGGCGACTGGATCATGGGAATTCTGTACTCATCAATAATGACAAAAAATGTCTGCACATGCTCTGTATATGCATAATGTTTTTTAAAATTACTTTGAAAAAGACTGAAACCACAGATGCAGAACCTGATGATATAGGGAGAAGACTGTATGTATGTGTATGTGGATGCATAGGTAGAGAAACACAGGCAGACAGACAGGCAGGCAGTTATTTTTTCATGGAAATGATGTCAGCCACAATGAGTAGCATTGAATTAGAGGCACAGCCTTATCTGAGTAGCAACAGACACCTGGTAAGTTCAAATTATAACCGCTTTGATTTCTAGCATTGTCCAAATAACATAATGTATTTCAGTTTATCATATTTAATTTTTCTGCCATGTTCAGAAAATGTAATCACACTACTGGCAACACTTTGAACAACAGACTGAAAGGACTTGTTTAGCAGAATAAGATCTTTATGTCAGACTGAATAGTAGTGTGAATGAGTAGTTGTTCAGAGGCTGTTTTATACAGAAGATTGATCAGTCTTCTCCTTAAAGCCCTCCAGTGCTTCTGCTTCGTCTCAGGTGGGAACCCAGATGTGCACTGCATGTAAGGACCGCCACTGTCTGGCCCTGTATCTTCTCAGTTCTCACCTCCTGCTGCTGTCCGTCCCCTGCTCTGCTGCAGACTTCCGGCATCCTGTATACCCATCACGCTCCTACCCAGTGCTCACTACATGGATCCCTGCAGTCTAAAGTGCTTTGTCCAGGTCTCCAACATGCTCCCTGCTTCTCCTAGGCCCCAAGAGTGACCTTTGTGTCCCCTCTACCTACTTTAGGTACCCTCTCTTTCTCCCCTCTGTCCTCCATGGTCCTTTTGCTCCATTGGTGCCTTCCTTTTCTCTATAGCTCTCACACTTCACCATCTGAAATATTATATATCTTAGATGTATGAGAGTAGGATATTGTTTCCTTTGCCCACTGCTGAATGTCCAACATTTAGAACAGAATCTGGGACAGACCAGGGGCCAGTGAATATGTGTAGAATGAATGACCAGTGGTAACAATTCTAGGTAATAAGTTCAACTTTTATTTTTATTTTTTAAATGTTTTTTATCAATGTCAACAATTTCAACAGTGAAATTCAGAGTGAAGAATGTCTTTCAGTAAAATTATAAATATACTTATTATGTACTGCAAACATATATTAATAAAAAATAAGAAATAAAATTTAAATACACATAAATTTAATCTATAAGGTGCCAGTGAATGTTAAAAATTATGTTTTATATGCCCATAAAAGAATGATTATATATTGGTACTTTAATATGTACTTTTCATTACTTCAATGCAGAGTGTGGTGATATTTGGGTAGAGAGGACATATAGTCTCAATTTGTCTAGTATTCTTAATTAAATATAGTTCCACAAAGTTTTCTGGAATGTTACAGAATATATAATGTGCACACACAAAGCTGAAATTGTCTAAAAGTAATGCTGAAATTGCAGTATAGGCTCAGAGTTCCTATTGATTTCCAGAGAGACAAGAATCCTGCCACATTCAGCCTTGTGAACACAGCATTCAGAAGACACAGCTAAAACCAGAGGAACAGGCCAGGGATTTAGCTCAGTGGCACCGTGCCTGCTACACAAGCACAAGGTCCTGAGTTCAATCTCTGGTACCAAAGAAAAAAAGAAAGAAAGATGTGTGTGAAGAGTAAACTAGGCCTCCTAGCTCATTTAGACATTTGGAGTAAAATAGCAAATTTACTGAAGGAGTAACAGGATTAAGATTTCTAAATGTTTGTTCCAGTGATTATATTTAAGCAGTGTCTTACTTTCTTATACCACTAGTCATTGAATAATAGATTAGTAAAAATCCAGGTAAAAACTAAAGTCTTCAAAGTCCTTCTCTCATTAACATCCTTTCAGATTGATATGTTTCAAATTATCACATTTGGGGCTGGGGATTTAGCTCAGTGGTTCCTCTGTCTGCTTTGCAAGAGCAAGGTCCTGAGTTTGATTCCCAGTACAAAAACCCCCACAAATTATCACATTTGTATTCATAAGTTATATTTACCATGTAAGCTTCATGAAGGCAGGAGTTGATTTGGATTAGTTCACTGTTATATTTCTAGGACAAGATAATGACTTAACATTCATAAATTTAATAATCATTGAACAGATGGCTGGAGGGATGAAGGAATGCATTACGCACACAAATATCATGTGCTTTTCAAAGCTGAGCTTGTCTCATCTTAGTGGCACATATTAGAATATGGGATTATGGCTTTATTTTATTTTGATAAAATAATCAACCATTTCAAAGTGAAACTATCAAATAAGTATCAACACCAAACAACCAGCCTGGGGTGGAATATTTTGTTACTCATTTTCATCCATCACAATTAACCCAGAATTACACAGCTTCCAAAGACTGATTTAAAAATGCTATTGTTTTTCAGATTCAGTTTTCACAGAGGTTAAAAATGTTCTTTTTTTTTTTTTTTGGTACCGGGGATCAAACTCGGGTCCTTGTGCTTGAGCAGCAGGTGGCGAAACCACTGAGCTAAATCCCCGGCCCCAAAAGGCATTTCTATTTTTTTTTTTTTTGGGTACCGGGGGATCGAACTTGGGTCCCTGCACTTGGGTAGCAAAAAATGTTCTTAAAATCATGTTTCAGAATGTGGGAAGAGGATCTCTCCCGAGCTCAGAATGTTTCAGGTATAATATCCTGGGTGACAGGAGCTTTCCTGCATCCCTGCGCTTTGCTGAGGAAAGTGGGTCCCTGGCAGCTCCTGGGGACACAAGGCCACTGTCCTCCCAGCGAAGTGGGCTTAGAGATCTCCGTGTTAGAGTGAACACAGGAGATGGATCTGTAGGCTCTGCCTCCCTCACCGATCCCTCTACTATACCCCGCCTGCTCCACCTTTTATTAATTAAGGCTGCTATCAAATGAGCAGGATAACCTGGAAAATTTCTGCTTGAGAAATTTGTTGAATGAAGTTGAATCATAAAACTATTACTGTCTTTGTATAAGAAGACAAAAAATATTGAAGAAATAAAGTCACGAAGAGAACAAAATGATTTACACAGCTTTTGGAATTGTGAAAAATATTCTAAAATATTTGAATTGGTTCTTCTGCATAGGAGCTGATTCATTAAGTACCAAATAATACATAAGATACTGAACATCAGGCTAATAACAGTTTTTATTATTAAAATGGTCTGATTTTTTTTATGTTTCTAAAAACCTTTTATGTTAGCAAATTCCCAGCATAAACGAAAGTGAAGAGCATAATAAATCCTCAGGATTCACTTCAACCATGACTACTCAGGGCCCATCTTGGTTCACTGACACTCCCAGCTTCCTCCACTACCAATGACGTGAAGTGAATCCCAGATAGCATAAC